CCCCCCGATCTCCCCTAGCTACGCCTCTGCCAGGAGCCAGAACATCCGGCTGCAGCCTCTGCCCAGGCCGGCCGAGGGCTTGGGGGACCCGGCGCCACATGGGCACTCCGGGAGCCCGGAACACCCCAGCAATCACTCTGACGCCCGGTATTTTTTTTCCACCTATTGTGTTAGGTGCTGTACCGGGCTCCGGCCCATAGTTTGGGAAACGCTGATTTAGCAGGTCTAATGCAGACCTGTAAATTGAAGGCTGAGGGCAGCCCCTGCCAGCGTACGGTACTCCTTCTTCTGCAAGGAGTAAGGGAACCAGACAAGAACATGTGCTCGCATCGGCTTCCCGCTGTGTGAACCCCACCACAGATCAGCTTAACGTAAGCCAACTCCAGTTAGGCATTTTGCATAGTTGGAGTTGTGTACCTTAAAATGACCTTCCTGGTCTAGTATAGCTCAGGCCTCAGTTTCCATCCTGCAGATAGTTCAGTAGGAAAAAGTGGGTTTGCACAAGTTCAGATTGAAATACATTCTCATGCACTTGCATAAAATTCTTCTTCTGTAGCCCTTATGCTGCATGCTCTATTAGATGGTTATGTGTTTCTTAGGCATGATATTATCATTGCTACTTATTTGTATTGGGGCAGTTCCTAGGAGTCCTGATGATGGAACAGGACCTCTATTGTGTTAGGTACTGTACAAACACAACAAAAAAAGTGATACTTTCCTGAAAGAGTGCGAGACTGGGAGCCAGGATTCTAGGTTGCCCCTGGCTTGCTGTGAGATCTTGGGCTTCTTTGACTCAGTTTCCCCATCTGTACAGGGGGTGTATTATTAGTTTGCTGCACAGTGCTATTGTTGGACTTAATTGAAGTATTTGCTTTCCATAGATGAAAGGTATCATGTACCGCAAATGTCAAGCGCTATTTTTATCAGTAATGTTCATGGCATCTGAAACTCCCAGCATAGCTTTTTAAACAGATAATACAAGTGGAACAGCTGCCACAGACAGCCAAATGTGCTAAAAATCCACAGCAGGATGTCTCAGAAAGGCAGAAAAAATCAGCTGGAAGGCAAAAAACAGCTACACATTTGGAGAGAAAATAGACAGGACAGAGCTATAGAAGGGTGAAGAGAGAGAAAGTGAGAAATGTGAAAGTGAGGCAATTAAGAAGTGAAAAGTTATAATACAAAAAAAGTGAGAAAAAGACTGCATTGACACTGAAGTCAATGGAGTTAATCCAGATATAAGTCTGTAAAAATGAGAGCAGAATCTGGCCTGAAACGTGCTTGAAATCAAGACCAAAATTTTCAAAAACAGGATATTAGAAGTCAGTGGGAGCTACTGGATGTTCATCACTTTTGAAAATCAGCTCTTTTATATAAGAAGCTATGTAGATACTTCACCATAACATCCTATTTTTGAGACCCATCTCAGAACACTTCCCTTCCCTTACCCCTCCCCCCCACCTCCACTTTTATTTTATTTTGCAGTAAAGCAAAAATAACTCTTAGACTTCTCTGTGCCTTTTTTAATTACTTTGTGAATTACAAAGTTATATTTATAGGTTCCCTGGGAATTTTTAAATGGAAAAGCCTAAGGAAAGCATCATTTGGTTTGCAATTTTGTGAACCTGTTTTTCAAACTCTTTGTATTTGTTGGGTTGGGGTAAGCTGGATCTTGGCAGTGTGAATTATCAGCATTCCTCTTGTCCTCTGCTACTATTTGCAAAATATAAACTTTTACTATAAGAAAGAACCACATTTTTAGCATTTCCAGTCACAGAGATCCCCATGCACATGAGACCTATTGCAGTGCTGTCTGGTTGAGTCTTCCAGTGGTTTGCCTGGTGCAGAAACCATCAAAGACATTGAACCACAGAGTGACCTTAAACATAGGATGGCAATCTTACAAAACTCAGTGCTTCTGAATTGTTTTAACCAGGAACCAGGGGAAACATAGTGTTTTCATCTGACAATACACAAGAGTCTTGTTGGGAGCCCACTTCGGCCGTGTTTGTTTCTAGGAAAGCACACTTCATATCTTTGTGTGCTTGCCTCATTCATGCTTCCATTGGCAGAGCCAGGGAAAATGAATTGCCTGACCACACAACTTCTTCAGCCATGACCCTTTTTTAAGGAGAAAGAGCTACAACTTGTTGTGAGCTGTCTGCTGTGTAAGCAAACGTCACTACTCATGCAGCCAGTAGTTTCTCAGATACCATATTTTGTATATAGTAGAACGTTTGCCACAATGTAAAATACACGTTTCCATAAGCATGCTTTTGTGCACTGATATAATTTTCAGAGTTGTTTTCCAATTTTACGAGAGAACGACCTTTCTAGGGGTTAGATTGAGCATTGAACATCAGGACTCCTGAGTTCTACGTCTGACTCTGGCACTAACTTGTGATATATGTCAGATAATTCACATAACGTGTATGTGCCTCAGTTTACCCACACAATAACAACGTCAGGCCCACTTAATTGGCCTTTGAAAATTACTTTAAAAATCCTGGGATGCAGGGTGCTATATAAATGTGAAGTAGGATAATGGACTTTCAAGGATATTGCCCAATTAATATCCCACAATGGTTTGAAAAGGTAGATGGTAAAGTCCCTCAGGACAGGACACTTTTGTGTGGTCAGGTAATTTGTTTTTCCTGGATCTGTCAATGGGAGCATGAATGATGCAAGCACACAGAGAGATGAAGTGTGCTTTCCTAGAAACTACAAAAGCCTGGCACCATCCTCCCTAGTATTTAAAAATAGAAACAACAACCTCTTTTTGCTCCTCTCATAGGAAAGTTAGAGGGGCTCATTGGTTATTTGGTTGTGTGTGAGTAAGTGGGCGGGTGGGTCAAGAATTTCAATGAAGGGAAAGCTAAGTGCAAGGGAGGAGGTTGGCATTTATTTAGTTCTAAGATTGGACAAGTCTGCGGCCAGTCTGACCTAATTGTCAGGGGTGAGTTCCATAGTGCAGGTCCAGCTCCTGGGGAAGTTGTCTTCGGCATTCACAGGGCTCTTCATATTGATTGACAGTTCCATGGTTCCAATGGAACATGGCTGTCCTGGGAGTATGAGCCGCAATCTTCCCGCCAGTGGCAGATGGACCATGGTTAGCTGGGCAGCCAATAGCACCGAAGAGACAAGGAGTCAAGTGCTGTGAAGCAGTTTAACAATGGGAGAGGAGATACCCTCAATAGTGGGGAACGTTATAGAGGATACCAATTATTCAGAGCTCTTCTTCCCACCAGCATCACCTCAGGCTTGTCTGGGTTCAGGGTGAGCCAGCTACTCTTCAGCCAAATGAACAGTATTAAGGCACTGAATTTGGTGGTATTCAACAGCTCAGGGCTCTGGAAGGGGAGGACCACACCAATTATCTGGGGTAACCAATCCTCAGAAAACTATGAATCATAACTATGGAACCATATCTTCCAGGGTTCACTTTGTTCTGACCTTCAACTCTATGACTGTCTGAATACATCCCCATAAATTGGAGCTGATTCACAAAATTTCACTAACCATAGCAAGGTTCTAAATGCATAAGAGACAATGAATTGAAAATATGCACTGATCCAAGGTACTCTTGGGAAGTCTTGTGGAAGGGCTAACTCTGTCTTTCCAGGTACACATGTGTACACTCTGAATGGAACCGACCCCGAAGGAGATCCTGTGACCTATGGAATGACCTGTGAAGCTGGGTCAAGAAGTTACTTTGCCATTGATACAAACTTTGGAAATATCACCCTGGTTGAGGAGCTAGATAGAGAGGTAATGCACAACGACGTAGCACCTATCTACATGTGACTGTAATGGAGTCAAGTTTTTAATTTGATTAGTAACTTTAAGGGGCATTGTCAGTTCAAAACCTAGTGTGAATGGTGGATTCTCTGTAACTTGAATTTTTTCAGACATAATTTGAGGACTTGAAAACACTGTCAGAGGTTATGGGCCTGTTACATGCATGGGTGGGTGAGGTTCCTGTGGCTAGCACCCTTCCACTTTAGACCCCTCCCCTCCTGGGGCCCAGAACCAGTTCCCCCCAGGGCCTGGCAAAGTCACTCATCAGCCCTGATACAGTCTATTAGTGCACTTGTCACCTCCTTTTCCATTTTGTGTACAACACTGCTTCTCTCAAAGGACTGTGGAGTACACAGCTGTTAAACTCTTGCCAAATTGAAAATGCACTCTCTTTCCACTCGGTGTTCCGCCTAGTCCCTGAAGCAGTTACGGTTTTCTAATCACAGGAGAGGGAATTTTAATTTCATTAGGATTCTCCCAAATGTAGGATGAGTTGGGTTCTCAATAATAACTTTTCAAGAACAGATTGATGATGGTACCCAAAGATGAATATTGCTCTGTATATATGCCCTTTCCCACATGCACACAAGGGTATTTTCTTAGGTGTCAGACCTGCAAATAAGTATTGAGCTGCTGCTGTTAAACTTCCTTCAATATTTTGTTCGGGACTAATTACAAATAATAGAAATAAAAGCCACTGAAATGGTTTAAGAAACATGTCTCCAGTTAAATGAAAGTGCTTCCTGTCAGCTCAGGATAGTCTCACCAAACAGGGCACGTTAGGCAACCTTGTTCCAAGATCAGACATTTAATGCCTGATATGACCTGTTTGGGTTAAATCCTTTCCAGATGAGGTGGCTCAATATTTATTAAATACCTTACACTACTGTATGCCAAGTGAGCAGAAGTTTCACACCTCACCTGTTTAGTTAGGATTTTCTTGGCTTTCAGCAGCTCACACATAGAAATTGCTGGACCAAATTGCATGTTCCATCCAGTTGAGCAGACAGCCGGCACAGGCCCCAGGGTGGCGGGAAGATGGCCTTGTCCTCCCAGAAAAGGCAGGGTCTTGGGACAAAGGGGCGGGGCTGGTGCAGCCAGTCCCCCACACCAATTGGAGCACATTTCACAGCGGCACCCGGCAGCAGCCAGGAGCCCCAAGACTCTGAATCGCCAGGGTCTGGAGCAACTGCCCCATTTGTCCCCCTGCTCCAGTTGATGGGCAGGGGTCTATCTAGTCCAGCATCCCACAGTGGCCAGCACTGGATGCCTCAGAAGGAAGTACAAGAAACCCCACAAAATGCCAATTTATCCTAATCCCTAATAAAGATCAGCTTATGCCCCAAAATCTGAGGTTTTATCTCCTTTGCAATACTCTTTGCTAGTGTTAACTGTTATAATTCTGGATATTCTTGTAATCCATTTAAACACACAAACCATCCTTGAATAATCTTGCTGAATATTAGACGTCTGTTTATATGAACTGTCTTTGTTTGCAGAAAGAAGATGAGATTGAAGTTATAGTCAGTATTTCCGATGGCCTGAGTACGGTGAGTATTCACATATGCCAAAGCTTGTCAAACTCATTCTGGCTGCATTAGCCACTGTGAGGACAGTATCTCGTTATGTACAAAAACATGGTCCAGTGAGGGTCCTATGTGACTCTTACAAGATTTGACGAAATCACAGTAGCTCGCTTCTAAATCCAACTCCTTGCCAGGAATCAAACTAATGTTGGTTTCTGTGGTTCAAGGCAAAAGTCTGCCTCAAAACTCACTTCTAAATCCAGCTCCTTGCCAGCAATCAAACTAATGTTGGTTTCTGTGGTTCAAGGCAAAAGTCTGCCTCAAAGGAGGCTGTAGAACCAGAGAGTCTTCTCATAAAAGGTGCCGAGACCCCAGTAGGTTTCAAGACCAAAGCAGTGTGGGCTTGACCAGGTTTTGGAGACTCCTAATGAAAAATTCAGTGTTGTAGGAATTTGTGTTGGAGAGTCAGTAGCTGATGTTCCTCCCTGAGTAATTACTGCACCTGCATTGCACTAAGAAGCTACGGGTTGTCTGGAATGTTGCTTTTGGGGTTTAGTTTGGTTTTGTAGTTGTTGGAGCTCTGGTCATTTCTGAGTGTTAAGAACCTAATGTCATTTTTGCAGGGATATTTGAAGTGACTGCCAATGTCCCTTCCTCATTCCACTATGAGACCCATCCATTTCCCTGTTATTTTTACTTGGTTTAAATATAAGAAGGGTGGTTTTATGATTACAGCACAGGACTGAAAGTCAGAAAACTTGGGGGGCAATTTCTAGATGTTCCGTAAAACTATCCATGGGACCTTGAGCAAATCACTTAGGCCCAGATCCTCAGAGTGTTTTGATGCCTCACTCCCATTGAGGGAAAACTGAAAGAACTGAGCTTGTTTCGTTTAGAAAAGAGAAGACTGAGAGAGGACACGATAGCAGCTTTCAAGGATCTAAAAGGGTGTAAGAAGGAGGAGGGAGAAAAATTGTTCTGCTTGGCCTCTGAGGATAGGACAAGACACAATAGGTTTAAATTGCAGCAAAAGCAGTTTAGGTGGCACATTAGGAAAAACTTCTCATTAGGATGGTGAATCACGGGAATTAATTGCCTAGGGAGGCTGTGGAATCTCCATCACTGCAGATATTTAAGAGCAGGTTGGATAGACACCTGTCAGGGATGATCTAGATGGTGTTTGGTCCTGCCATGAGGGCAGGAGACTGGAATTGATGATCTCTCAAGGTCCCTTCCAGATCTAGAATTCTATGATTCTAGGATACCTTTGAGCATCTGGGCCTTACTCTGTGGCTACGTCTAGACTGGCATGATTTTCTGGAAATGCTTTTAACAGAAAAGTTTTCCATTAAAAGCATTTTTGGAAAAGAGCGTCTAGATTGGCACGGACGCTTTTCCGCAAAAGCACTTTTTGCGGAAAAGCGTCCGTGGCCAATCTAGATGCGCTTTTGAGCAAAAAAACCCCAATCGCCATTTTCACGATCGGGGCTTTTTTGTGCAAAACAAATCTCAGCTGTCTACACTGGCCCTTTTGCGCAAAAGTTTTGCTCAAAAGGGACTTTTGCCCGAATGGGAGCAGCATAGTATTTCCGCAAAAAGCACTGATTTCTTACAGTAGGAAGTCAATGCTTTTGTGGAAATTCAAGCGGCCAGTGTAGACAGCTGGCAAATTTTTCCAGAAAAGCGGCTGATTTTCCGGAAAAACTGGCCAGTCTAGACACAGCCTGTGTGTTTTCATTTTTTCATCTGTAAAACGGAGATGATTATAATCTGCAATGCTTCCATATTCAGAGGCGTGTTGTGAGAATAACCATTCAGGAAGATCAGATACAATGACAAGGAATGCCCTAGAAATTCCCCTAAATAAAAGCCTCTGGATCACGTTTACCTCTTCACTTCACAAAACATGGTACAGTTTTGCTGGGAATTGATATGAGCTACCACATTCCATCCCAGAAGGGTTGCTTTATGTTGGATGGTAAAGTGACCTTTCATGGTATAAATGGGGCCCCCCTCTCAAAGTTAGTTGTGTGCATTTGCACATGCCCCCTTAATGCGCACTGGAATTGTGGCATCCAGTGAAGTATCTGGGCGCATCATAGTCAGCTGAGCACCTACCCAGCCTTGCCTGTGCACAGATGTCTCATTCATTTGCATGCTTCAGGAGACTTTGAACCTCTTGAAGGGTCCAGTAAGTGAGACACAAGCTTTGAAAATCAGCCCCACCATCTGTTGTTCGTAGAGCACCTTGGAAGTTCTGAAAGTCATTGTATACATCAGTAAAGAATCGTCTCAGGGAAAGCTTTGCATCTCAGGGAACGGTTAGCATTGCCTTTTTAAAAAACAATCCTTTAAGAAGCATATGATGTTTTCCCGTTCCATTTTCCTACTGACTGCAAGTATCTTAACAAAGCAAGTAGTCACGCCTTAGCCAGTCAGGATCCTAGCATGCAAAGAAACAAGTAGATAGTGCAATTTAGTTTATTTCAATAAGTGTTCATTGTATTCCACTCCAGGTTGCCGAAAAAGTCCGAATACTTGTAACAGATGCCAACGACGAGAGTCCAGAGTTTATCAACACACCTTATATAGTCCAAGTCCCAGAGGTTGGTTTGGGGTTTTTTTCCCCGATGCTGTAAGTACATTTGAATGGGAAGCAGGGAAAAGGAGCTAGTGCATTTTCTGTAACATAGTATCACTGAGGGTAAGTCTACATTAGCCACCCTAGTTCGAACTAGGGTGGTAGCGTAGACATACCCTGAGGGTGTGTCTACACTGCACTGTAGCTCGAAATAAGCTCATCCATTTGAGCTACGCAAATGGTGTAGCTTATTTTGAGATAATTTCTAAATAGCTTATTTTGAAATTTGGTGCTGTCTACACAGCACTTATTTTGAAATAAACAGTTATTCCAAAACATCCTTTACTCCTCATAGCATGAGTTTTACAAGGACGTTGGAATAGCAAGCCCGTTATATTTTGAAATAACGGGCATGCCCAAAAGATGCGGAATAGCTATTTCGGGATACTGAAGGTATCCCAAAATAGCGCTGCAGTGTAGTCATAGCCTAGGTGATCAACTCAGTGTTTAGCTTAAGTTTTCGGTTATGTTTTGAATATCACTAAAGCATGCAGTAGTGAGGAAGCGGTGCTGTGGTGTTCTCCACTCCCTGAAAGCACACTGTCCTCTGGGGGGAGGCTATGATGCTAATTTGCACAATATTTTCCATTGAAAGCCTACCTCTGCACCAGCTGAAGTCAATAGAGATTTTACCACTGACTTCAATGGGAAGAGGAGCAGCAGCAAAGGAGAAGGACATTCCTCTGTCTCCTTGCCCCCTAAATAAGCATTTTCTCTTCCATTTCTGCCTCAGGAAATTTTTAATATATGTCCTTCCTCTTTCACTCCATTTCCCCCTCATTCACACCCCTGCTCATACATGTGTCCATTCACTCTCCAACATATTCTATATTTCGTCCTCTCCTCCTTTTCAGTTGCTTTTTCATCTGCCTTCTCCATCCACCATTCCCACCTGCTTTTCTTTCTTTGGTTTGTCATTCCTTTGCTGCTTCCCAGCCTTCTCGTCTTCATTCTTCATTTCTTGCCTCCCTCTCTTATCTTTTACTTTGCATTACTCTGCCAGTCCCTCTGATTTCAGTAACTGTTTTAATTTACAGAACACCCCCTCAGGGAGCAGTATCTTTAAGATCGAGGCAGTGGACAAAGACACAGGCTCCGGGGGAAGTGTCACCTACTTCTTGCAGGTATGATCATGATGCGCATGTTTAAAAGTAGTTTCGTTTGCTGAGGTGTTCCGGCCCCATGCGAGAAATAAAAAGAAGGTCATGTAAGTGTCTCACCGTAACAGTAGGCGTGATCCCAGATAACTATTCTGGAATAGCTTATTCCGAAATAACTGTGCAGTGGCCCGTCAGACAGTCCCACTCCTGCCTTCTCTGATCCCTCCTCAGCCTTCCTCAGCTGCTTCTAGACACACGTGGGTCCCTATAGTGCTTCAGCTACAACACTCCTGCTTCTCATTGTCCTCTCTCCTGGCTACTTATTAGGCCTGGTCTGCACACAGGGTGGATAGCTAGTTTGTCAGTTGGTGTAGGAGAGTGATGGTTTTTTTTTACTGGAGTAGTTCTACTGGTACAATCCCTAGTTATGCAGTTAGATTAGAGACAGGTACCCTAGAGCAGTATAGATTATTTCCCTTCCTGTATGGGGATAAACTATATTAGTAGAAATACATGTGCACCAGTATACTGGCATCCACAGTCGGGAGCATGTACTACTTTAACTATGCCAGGAAAGCTAAAGCAGCACAACTTTTACACAAGGTAAGATCTTAGGATGGAAGAAGGAAATAACACTGCCAAATCATCAGGTGGATCAAAAAACCTCTGTCTGGACTCCTGTTAACTCCATATAACGGTTAGTCAGCTGAGAAAGAAGTTCTCAGGTGACTGGTTCTGCATTCTGCATTGTGATCTGATGGTGCAGTAGGGTCCATCTGCCAAAACACTAACACATGCAGCTAAATATTTTTTGTTACCTCCACCATGTAACATTCACACATCCTTTCACTTTTGCTACTTTCCTCCAGCTAATACTTACAACACTGATTAACTTATGCAGTGTTTTAAGGTCCTGACAGAACATTTGTCTCCTGCTACATCACTGACATTATCACGTTTCCTGCTTCTTTTTCTCTTCCCCACTTAGGCTACGCCAACACCACACAATTATTTCAGAATAAGCTATTCCGGAGGAAATATTCCAAAATAGCTTATTTTGAAATAGCATGTCTGTGCTACAGAGAAGCCTGGAAATAAGTCCAAGGCAGGTTCCCCTAAAGTGGATATGCTATCCTGATTTAGAACCACAGGAAGCACAGGGGGAGAAATTACTTTGAATGGCCTGGGAAAATTACTTTGAATGGCTATTTCAAAATAGCAGCAGTGGAGTATCCACACTACTGCTATTCTGAAACAGCTATTTCAGAAGAGGTGTTATTCCTCAAGAAATGAGGTGTAAAAATGCCGAAATAAGTCACCCGTTATTTTGAAATTATTTTGAAATAACGGGCTAACTGTGTAGATGCTGCTGTGTAGACATACCTTCAGTCTCTTTCTTGTTTGTCTGGAGCCTAGGCAAGTAAGTTCTATCACTTTTGCACTATCTCAGGGTCTGTCTGCACTGCAAAGTTTTTCCAGAAAAATAGCTGTTTTTCTGGAAAAACTACACTTACGTCCACACTGCTATTGCGTTCTTTTAACAGAAAGTCGAAAGAACTGAGGAGTTTTTCTGACAGTGGTAAACCTCTTTCTAAGAGGAAGAAGCCGTTTTCTGAAAAAGCTTTTTTGGAAAAAGGCATGTGTGGACACAGAAGAGAATGTTTTTTCTAAATAAGAGACCTTCAGGAAAAAGCACAGGTGCCCTGGTGGCCACTCCATCCACAGTAATCACAATTGAAATGTGACATAGTGTCCAATCAATGTGTCCAATCAAAGCACATCCCTTTTTCATTGCGCTTTTGCTGTGTAGACACTCTCTTTCAAAAAAGGTCTTTCCAGATCTCTTCTGGAAAAGCTTCTTCCAAAAGAAGCTTGGAGTCTAGACATAGCCTCAGTGAGGAGAAGTACAAACAAAGTTGCTGCCTTGGATGAACTAACAGTTGTTTCATAGGGATGTGCTAAAGGATTGTCGTGTTCCCTAGTCAAGGCAATCCTGTAAAGAACAGGTAGATACAACCTGAGCTACAATTGCTAACAATTTAGCTTGCAGCTGAATTTAATTTTCCCCAGTAAGGGACAATGGTAGACATTGACTAACACATTCATTATAATATTTACTTAGACAAAGTGAGTGCAGGAATTAATGTCTACTTGAGAAAATGCAAATATTTATGTTGGATTAAAGCTAATCTTCTTAACATGAGATAACTGAAAGAAAAGACACCCTAAACCAAATTCTGTAAGCAGCCAAAAAAAAAACCCCCCACACAAAACAAACACTCTGATCTTACTTTGATCTAACTCTTATTTTAAATTCAATCCCACTTACAAATCCAGTCTACAATTCTGACAAATCCGTCAGATCAAGTCACTGTATGAAAACCCATTTCTCTTGCAGAAATTGAGTGTCTTGCTTCTTTTTCCACAATCATTTTTGTTCTGCTATTTGCCACTTTAGTCCACTTTTGAGATGCTAGTGACCCTCATTTTCTCCTTATCAAGAGACAAAGCTAGCAGAGAATATGTTGTCATAGTCCAGAGGTGGCCATCCCATTTAACAAAGAGAGCCAAAACATCAGCGGAAAAAATGCGAAGAGCAGCACCAGAATTGTCAAGCAAAAAAAAGAAAAGAAAAAGGAAAGCCCCCCCCCCCAGAAAAGTCAAGCAAAAAAAAAAAAAAAAGGAAGTTGCCCCTTTAAGAAACTTAGGCTTTTTGGCCATATCAGACTCCCGTTGACGGCTGCCATCTTGGGCGCCATTTTGAATCGCCGCCCTGGTGACCACAGAGGAGCCAGGTGTTGGGGGGAACCAGGGGCAGGGTGGGAGCCATTTTGGGGAGGGAAAGGGGCACAGAAGTGTCTTCGCAAGCTGCATTTTTGTGGGAGAAGAGCCCTGGCATAGAGCATGCCTACAAACCAATACAGACAGCCTTATGTTGAGGCATGATATTTACACAGCATTGTTATACTACCATGACTATTTCCACAGGCTGTGCTTTTGTATGACAGCATATTTCTATTTGTCTTAAATCTGTATTAGAGTGTTCAACAACTCCTAAAATTCCTTTGTGGCAGAAATTTTCTAGATTTGAGCTCTTCCTGAAAATAATTTTTTTTTAATTTAAAGAAAAATTGGTTCAGTCATTTTTTAATTTGAGGACTCTGAACAAATATATTTTCCCATTACAGGTATAAAAAAATCATGATTGCAAACTTTGTGTGAAAATGGTATATGCAGCCAGGTTCGATGGATGTAGAACATTGACATTTGGCACACACATAATCTTATCATTAAGACAAGCCCTTGAGTGCCTGGTTGAAATTTGTTTTTAATATGATCAAGTTATGTCTTTTGAAAATCTCATACATTACACATGTAATTCATTTTTGCATAGTTTTTCACTAAGCTCACAAAATGTGCCGCCAACAAAGGCTGTGCCATCCATGTATGCATGACTGATATATCAGTCTAGGGCTATGTCTAGACTAAAGACTTCTTTTGGAAGAAGCTTTTTTCAGAAGACATCTTCTGCAAAAACTTCTTCCAAAAGAGAGCGGCCACACTGCCAAAGTGCATCGAAAAAGCGATATGCTTTTTCAAAATAGAGCATCCAGATTGTATGGACGCTCTTTTACATGTAAGCTGTGATTGCTATGGATCACACTAGGGCACCTGTGCTTTTTCTTCTTTCCTCTTCTTCCGAAAGAACTCCCACTTCCCCATCCACACACGCCTTTTTGTGAAAGAGCTCTTTCTCAAAAAGGCTTCTTCCTGGTAGAATGAAGATTACCAATGCCGGAAAAAACTTCTGTTCTTTTGATTTTCTTGTGGAAGAATGCAGTTGCAGTGTGGATGTTCCTTAAGTTTTGTCAGAAAAATGACCGTTTTTCTAGGGGAAAAAAGCTCCAAAACACCCTAGGGGAAAAAGCTCCAAAACAACCATTGGCTCAGTCCCTGAGTGCTCCTAAATATTAAGAGTCAGAATTGCATTTAAATATCCCCCGCGGCATTTGCATTTACATGGCTGCCGCTTTTTTCCGGTTTGGGGATAAGCCGGAGAAAAGCGCCAGTCTAGATGTGATTCTCTGGAAAATAGGAATAAGAAATCCTCCGGAAAAAGGGCTTATTTTCCGGAGAATCACGCCTAGACTGGCGCTTTTCTCCGGCTTATCCCAAAGCCAGAAAAAAGTGGCAGCCATGTAAATGCAAATACCGCGGGGGATATTTAAATCCCCCATGTAAATGCAAATGCCGCGGGGGATATTTAAATCTCCCACGGATTTGCAATTCCAACTCGTCACATTAGCATCCTTTTTCCGGAAAGGGATGCCAATGTAGACGTAGCCAGAGAGATCAGAATAATTCATGTGAAATTAATCACATGAATCATTCATTACACATTATTTATCCACCTTTGTTTATTCTACACCAGTGTTTCTCAACTGACCTCTGGAAGTCCATGAGGGAACTCCAAGGGGTTTATGGGCCACACCGATCAACTCCCTCTCCTCGCCCCCCCCCCCCCCCTCCCCTTTAGTGCCTCCTGGCGCCTGAAGCCTGGGGCTAAGACAGGCTCACCTGCCCTAGTTCCACACAGCTCCCAGAAGTGGCCACCATGTTCCTGTGGTCCCTAGACATGTGGGCAGCCATGGAGGCTCTACACCCTACCCCTGCACAAGTGCTGGTTCTGCAACTCTCATTGGCTGGGCACCGCAACCAATGGGAGCTTCAGGGGCAGAGCCTGCGAGCATGAGGGCAGCATACACTGTCTCACTGGACATCCATGCACCTAGGGGCTTCAGAGACCTGATGGCTGCTTCTTTGGAGTGGCAGTAAGCGTCACTGGCACCCCAAACCCCTTGTCCCTAGCCCCACACCAGAGCCAGTACCCCCAGCCAGAGCCCTCACCCCCTTCTACATGCTAACCCCCTATCCCAGCCCAGTGAAATGGAGGAAGAGAGGGAGAGAGTGAACACCAGAAAGTGTGTGCGGGGAGGAAGGGATGGAGCAAATGCAGGGCCTCAGTAAAGGGACAAGGCAGGGGGTCCCCAAATTTTTAAATCAAAATGGGGGCCCTTGGGTTGCTAAACTTTGAGAACAACTGTTCTATATCTTTAGCAAGTTAGTCCCAACACCAGTCTTTTCACTATACCTGTAACCTTTCACCACTTTTCTTTTCTTCTAGAACATCCACACTAACAAGTTTACCATAGACCGACACAGTGGAGTTCTTCGCATCAAAACAGGGATCACGCTAGACTATGAAAAAGCAAGAACTCATTTTGTCACCGTGGTAGCAAAGGTATCAAGCCCTTTCTTGAGTGGGGAAGCAGGTGGGGAAGAGCTGTAACTGGGGAAAGCTATATCAGAGGCTGGTCCAGAGAAGAATTAGACCTAGAGGAGCAAGCCTTCCAAGCTACCCTCATTCTAACCAGTGCAGTAATCAGTAGTGTACGTGCGGAAGTAGGACCCCACCACGATGAAAGCATGAAGCAATCTGGGAGTCGGAGCTATCAGCACACACAGCAGAGCAATGTACTGCAGTACTGGCAGTGCCTGTGTGCATCACTGCTCTTTGTCAGCATGGCAGGTGAAGAATAGTCACACTGCAGAACAGGTGACACATCTCTTCTCCAAAGCTAGTGTCTTTTCTTCCCTTCTGGCACTGCTGGAGGCTCATCACCGACTGTAGAACTATTGATTCTGAGGTGCAGAGACTTGCAGAAATACATGGGCCATGTTGCTCTGACAGATGTGTTTGGGCAGGTTTCATCGGGTGACACCACTTCTTCTAGGCCACAAAGAACATTCTTGAGGAGCTACTGAGTGCTCCTGTGTTCTGGCAGAAGACATAGCCTGGGCATTCTTTAATTTTCAGGGGCCAGGCAGACGCAATGGAGGAGTTTGTGGCAAAATGTTGCCCAGATTCATTGACCTCATTATAGTGCTGAGTGTCAGGGGGGAAGAAAGAGAGTGGACAGAGCCCTGTATAAGGGTGCATCTAACTGCACCGTAGGTTGAAATGAGGTATGCAATTTAAGCAAATTATGCATCTTGTTTTGATCTTATGTCCAAATAGCTTATTCTGTCAATTGGCGCTGTCTACACAGAACCACATTTCAAAATAACCCGACATTCTGAAACATCCCTTACTCCTCGTGGAATGAGGTTTACAGGGACAGCAGAATAGAGAGTCTGTTATATTTCGAAATAACAGGCTTGCTGTTAAGACGCGGGATAGCTATTGCAGGATACGCCAGTATCCCAAAACAGCACTGCAGTGTAGAGGTAGCCTAAAAGTGCTTTATTCTAGTTAAAGTGGGGGTGCAAAATAATTCACTGTTTTAAATGCCAGCATAATTATGAAGGGCTTAAAATCTTCTCATCTGCTGAGTCATCTCTCTAATTGGCTCCATTGTGTCAGTAGCATGCAATAGAGATGATTATATCCCAGCCACTTAACAATTCCCAGCTTTATGCTCTTCCTCAGCTTTGACCATGTCACAAGACTCCCTAGGATGAGGTGGGGGACTTTCTTCTAACAGAGGCTGCTGACACACAGGAAAAAATCCATTGTGGGCCACGCAAGTCGTGCGGGGGGGCACAGAAGCTCAGAGCTTCCCCCTGTAGTGGTTGACTGGCACTCATGGCTCCAGCCTCACAGGGGACCAGGGGGCTCAGGGTAGGATCAGAAAAGAGGTGTTCTCAGTCTGGGGCTTCAGGTTGGGGCAGGGGTGAGGGCTCCAGATGGGGATGCAAGTTGTACAGTGGGGCAGGGGATGAGGAGGTTGGGCTCAGGAGGGGGCTCTGGGCTGGAGCACAGGGGTTTGGAGTGTGGGAGTGGGCTGAGGGCTGGGGCAGAGGGTTGGGATGCAGGATCTAATTTGGAGGAAACTAATGTGTGGGAGGGGTTTCGGACTTGGGACAGGAGACTGGGATGTGGATGTGGGTAGGGCCGGCCCACAACATTTTGGCACCTGAGGTGGGGAGCTCAAATGATGCCCCCATGCCCCCTCACTGCACCAGCAGCAGACACAATTTTCTACATTCTGGGTCCTAGTGGCGCCCCCCCGCTACAGTCTGGTACCTGAGGCAGCTGCCTCAGTTTACCTCATGGTAAGGCCAGCCCTGGATGAGGGGTCCAGGATCTGGGAGGGAGTTGGGTGTGCGAGTGGAGTTCTGACCTAGGGCAGGGACTTTGGGGTGTGGGAGGAAGGGCAGGGTGTGGGCTCCAGGAGAGGATCAGAGGGCAGGGGCTGGAGGTTGGGATGAGGGAAGGAGTGAGGCATAGCAGTGCAGTGGGGCAAAGGCAGGCTCCCTGTCTGCCCTGGCTTTGCACTGTTCCCTGAAATGGCCGCCATGTCTGACACTTCCGCAGGCACCTCCCACTCAGCTCCCACGGGCTGCAGTTCCTGGCCAATGGGAGCTGTGGAGTCAGCCCTCGGGAGTGGGGCAATTTATGGAGCATCCTTGATCTCCCTGTGCCTACGGGCCTCTGGCCCATGAAATGGACATTTGCCATTGGCCAGATGAAATTAAGCAGCAGGCTGGGGTTTCCCCACCCCTGCCCTAGGAGACTGATCACATGCAGAATTTAATCTTCCCCTAGCAATGCCTAACCTGGAACATGAAAAGTTATAGATGGCCTTCCAGATTTGACCTCTTCTCGCCTCCTTGTTCCTGTAAAGTCAGATTTTCTTCCCTAGCTGACATTGATAAATAGGAGCTGAAACACAAAACAGCACATGTGATTTCATGTACCAGCACAACCCGTGTACTGTTAAAGATGACTCCAGAGACACTCAGGGCTGCCTGCTCAATCAAAGAGGAAACCAAACACAATGAAAATAGAGGGAATAGAGCAGAGCGGAGTTTTCTATAGCTATTGGCATTCCCTGATTCACTTTAAAGCGATCTGTTTAGTTGTGATGTGTTATTGTGGGTACTGGCCATTTTCTTGCTAAGAGTAGAATCAGTATCTCCTGACATTCACCTTATGATTATTCTGGCCCCATGTGTGATGCAGGAGATGCATTAGTCATGGGAGTGCACATGTGAAGGCTAATCAGGAGTGTGTGGTTATTAGCTGATAAATCTACAAACTAGAGTTCCAGTGGGTGAATTTCAGCATAATGCCTGGCCCATGCATTCTGTTGTAGGACGGCGGCGGGAAGCTCCGCGGGGACAACAAGGTGTTCTCAGCAACAACCACAGTCACTATCAATGTGGAAGATGTCCAGGACACCCCTCCTATGTTCATTGGGATGCCCTACTATGGCTATGTTTATGAGGACACCCTGGCGGTACGTATCACTTCTACCTCCAGGAGCCCCAGAAGCAATGGAGTCACTTTTCAACATGACAAAGCCTTGGAACCAGATGCCACAGTGGTTTACAGCACCAGCCTTGCCATTCTGGTTCAAAATCTGATTTGAACTTTACGTTCAAACTCTGACGTGAACCTGAAGTGAAATGAGCCAGGTAAATTTGCTGGTGCTTATTTGTGTCCATCACAAAATCACAGAGGACCCTCTCCGGCTCCCCTTGAACTCAAAGGGATTTTTGACTTGTACGAGTAGGATCAGACCATGATTAAAAGCCACTCAGTGGCAGGGTTTGCAGCCCTTCTGAAAGTGATTGAAAGCTCAAATCCAAACCCCATTAATCCAGTCACCCCTGCAGAGATCCTCCAGAGGCTTCTGACGATTGCTGCCAGTGTTGATCTTAGATCTAAATGAAGCTATATTGAGAGGTCTCTTCTGGAGCCATCAGCTAGCTCTACAGTGTATGGCTCAAGGGAAACACTATGACTCTGCTCCCCTCCTGCCCTATATGCTGCCAGAGTCTCTTGGAGCTACGAGGGAGGAGTTGTCCCGGCCGTGCCAGTGATGCGGGATGCTGATTGTAGGTTCCAGAGCTGGACTGGCCAAGGTGCCTATGCCGCCTGCAGTCAGATGACAGCTCTGAAACCAAACTGTCAATTGGACAAATCATTCGTGGGTGGAGACCAGTGTGCCCTTTATTTTCCATCCTTGAGAGGAGGGCGTTTGGGCTTGTGCACCAATACTGACGTCATGTGCGCTTGTTTGGATGAGTGGCACCCCCTAGCTGCTAACAAAATTATATATATACAAGTATATATCTCCCCCACCCCCACCCTGTGCTCCTACCATGTCCTGGCATGCTACTCCCTACCCAGTATCTTCCACCCCATCCCCTTTGCCCCGCAACACCCATGCCCAGCTACCCCTCACCCTCTGGCTACAGCACCCTGCACATGGGCCTAGTTTGCCCAGTCCTTAATGCCAGCCCAGTGACAGGGAAACTGCAGCTCCAGTCAGCTGCCACCCACCACATGGTTCCAGACAGCCCGGCCCCAGCTGCCCACCATATAGCTCTGGTCCACACACAGCCCCATCCCAGAAAAGCTGAACAGCCACTGCACAGCCCTGCTGAGGAGGTGGGCAGGCTTCAAATTCTTGGCACACCCCTGCACAGGCGTGCACCTTAGAGGGAACCATGATGGAGACATGTCAGTGGCTGCCACTGAGGCAATGTCTCCATCAAGTCCTGTAATATAAGAACTAGGGGTCATCACATGAAATGAATAGGAAGCAGGGTTTAAAACAAACAAAAGGAAGTTTTTCTTCATGCAATGCACAGTCAACCTATGGAACTCCTTGCCAGAGGAGATTGTGAGGACCAGGACTTCAACAGGGCTCAAACGAGAAGTAGATTTCTGCTTGAAATGAACCCAAAAACTTAAAACTGAATTATTTCAAACTTTTGGACAGCTGGGGGATTTCAGTCCACTTCTGAATATCGTAAGTGATTCCAGGCTTTGCAGTGAGTCACAAGCCTAACTAAAACCTAGAGGGCGAATACTCCCAAAGTGTGACTTAGAAACTTTAATTCATATGTGTGGTTTGTGCCCATCACTAGTTCTTTTTTATCAGGCTCTATCTGCTTGCCATGGTGATCTGTTCCCGAGGAAGTAAAAAGATAAAGTACTTCCAACCATTGCAGAGTAGAATTTACTGCCTCAGCTTGGGCTAACATGCTCAGCATTGCCATGAAATGCTTACATGGGTCCACCAGCCATCCTACAGGGGAGCAGAGCTGCATTTGCTTAGATTCTGTAGCTGCCCAGAAATGACTGTGTAAGAAACAGCAAACGAGCAGGTGGGGAAAGGACAAGTCAGTGCAGTGTTTTGATTACAGACAGGATTAACAGTCGTGAGCCACAGTTGCAGTTTGCAACAACCGCGCAACCCAAATGCTGGAAAGGGTGCTTCTGCCTTTCCCATGGATTCTTACCTTGGGCTGACATTAAAATGATTGGCATGATCTTGGCTGTAGTGGGCTGTAGAGGGAACGCTCTCACTGTGAAAGAATGGCGCACATGACACTGAACATAACCATTATTATCATCACCACAAGGGAAACCTAAATAGGCCTGACGCAGGGGCTAGTTGCCGCTGATTTCCTGAACAACGCCATCCCTTGCTCCAGCTAATAATGACAAGGTATCCTAGGTCTCCTTCAGTCGATCTCTGGTCAGCTGTATTGCTTGTCCAGCTGGCACACAGATGATAAGCTTTGATAACAAGTAATCCCAGGCAAAGCACCTCCAGTCCTGGGAAATTTTCGTCTCCCCTTCACCAGATTAAATGACATGGATGTCCCCCATTTGGATCCCCGCATGGCTCACACACACACTGCCCTATCAGCGCTCAGTGTGTCATGCTAAGAGCATTTATCTGACTGAAGTATCAACCCCCAGGACAGAACGGGAAAGTGTGTACAAGCAGCGCGGGTCTCAAAATGGCCTGGACCGACTGGTCCCTCTGCTGCAGCACATGGATTGGAAGGTGGGAGTTCTACTGATAGAAGAACAGAGGGAGGCTGCACTGCCCCAAAGCTAATCCTGAGCCCTACCCGGCCTGTAGTTCATCCAGTCAAATGGCCTGATACAAAGTCAAGCTGTGATTTATTTTCTGACAGGAGCGTGGGCCCTTGGTGTCCTTCTCATACAGCCACAGCAAGAGCACCTATCACTTGGTTATAGGAGGAGAACTGGCTGGAGTGGATTTTATTAATATTCACTAGCAATCTCACTGCCCTTTGCTCTTGCTACATAAGTTGTAATTCCTCATTTCTCCCTAGGGCTCTGAGGTACTAACTATCTCTGCTCTTGACGGGGACCGAGGAAAGCCTAACAATATTAATTACTGTCTTGTGAATGGTGAGTAGACAGTTTGCATTTAATCCCAAGTGATATGAAAGGTAGACATGGCATTGAATTAGAATGTAGCAGGCTAGGGTCGAGTAAAGCTGAAGATACTTATGAAATAGGGTCTGACACTGGAGACTAATCCTGGATCTTGTCTAGCTGGGGGCAACCCAACGATTATTCACTGTGTTCTAGGGTTTGTTTCATAGAGCTCCATTGCTCATATTTGAATAGTTTATTTCTCTTATTTGCTGTTTGTTAAATAGCAACAGTGCGCTTAACTTTACTTGACATCAAGGACTGAGGGGCTTCCCTATGTAAGCTGGTAGCCAACAGAACACACTAGAAGAGCCATGCCAATTCAAGGCCAGCTGCTTTTTTCACGTTTCTGTGTATGGAGGTTTCACTAACAGGAAGTGTGGGAGCAGAAAGGAGAGGAGGGAACCAGTCATGGGTCTGGAGTGGGAGGAGATGAGGCATATTCTAGCCAATCACAGCTCTGGGGGTGGAGGAGTAGGTATAGAGGGAAGAATGTTGCTTTATTTCTCCTCACCCCTATGCAAACACCACTATTCTATATCTTGAGTTGGTTGCTGTCAAAATGCAAGGAAACCATCCCATGCAATTATTACTTATATGAGGAGTAATTGTTATTACATTTTTTGTTTAAAATCACCTTTTGGTTTTAAAAAGGAAATGTTCAGCTTCAAAATAACCCAAGTTACCTGTTTCCCTGTGAGAATTGGACAATATCATGATATATTGCTCCTTGAAACAACTATTGACTTCAGCTTCTGCTGAGTCAGGATTTACTTTGCAGGCTTATGAATCTTTATGATTTACTGCCACATACGCCTGTATCATTCAGTGTGGCATCTAACGAACTTTAATGAAGTTGCAGGTATTGCAGATAGTAGCAAAATGAGGCATTACTGGACTGTTTAAAAATGAGCATGCCTGCCAAGTTAGCAAGAGAGCAGAATGGTGGGCCTTCGTGTAATCAGCCGTTTTTTTCTGAAGAGCACAACTCGTCCGAGAGTGACTTTTCAGTTTGATTTCCTTGCAGCAACCGTGGGAAAGTACATGAGCCCACGGGCACTGCCACGAAACCCAGTTCATGGCCCCATTTCCATACATGTTGCGAAGGCCGGGGGAGAAATCTCCCTCATAAGTCTCCCTTTCACACTAATGAAGTATTTGTAAATAGGCTGGCCTCCTGCCCCTACATTTCACTTTCTCTCTGCAGCAGGCTACTTTTGTCAGAGGAGGTGGGGCAAAAGGAGTGGGCAGCAAGCCCTATGTAATTATTATATTGCCAGAAGCTGCCTTCTGCTTTGCTCTGTGAATGAGCCAGGTCAGAAAGGGACAACAGCCCCAATGATAAGTCTGATGCTCTGCCCGGTCACAAGGAGGAGCGAGAGTGTAGAAATCAGTGCACACACCTTCCAGCTCCACCACCTAGCTTCTGCCTGTGAGCCTCAGTGGGCGTTCAGATCACAGTTTGACCCTATAGCCACACAAGGTCTTTTTACACAGTATCGTCTTCTAGGAGGTTGAGTTTTAATGCCCAGACAGCTGAGGCCAAAGAGAGGTATGCTGCAGATAGAACAGCCATTTTCTGGTTAGATTGTCAAACTTCCCACCTGAGCTGATATTAGTGAGGTTCTTGTTTTTGCCAAGACATTATTAGATATTTACTAACTAGACTGAGAAGGCTCATTTTTCTTTCTGTCTGTATATTATAATCAATATGTCAGAATGTGACTGGTAATTTGGAGCATCCAGCTATAGGCACCTGAAAGGAAACTGAATTTCATTACTTTGTAAAAATCAGGCCTTTTTAAATCAGTGCAAGCAGGGAACCCAAAATTAAGTGTGTTCAGAGCACCAATCATTGTTGAAATATATGTCCAGTGAATCCCATTCTTATGTTAGCCCCTCTTTCTAGCACAAGAGTACTGTCTTGTTGGGTTTATTGTGCATCTGGAGGATAAAGATATGTAGAATCATAGAATCATAGAATCATAGGACTGGAAGGGACCTCGAGAGGTCATCGAGTCCAGCCCCCTGCCCTCAAGGCAGGATCAAGCTCCGTCTACACCATCCCTGACAGATGTCTATCTAACCTGTTCTTAAATATCTCCAGAGAGGGAGATTCCACCACCTCCCTTGGCAATTTATTCCAATATTTGACCACCCTGACAGTTAGGAATTTTTTCCTAATGTCCAATCTAAACCTCCCCTGCTGCACTTTAAGCCCATTACTCCTTGTCCTGTCCTCAGAAACCAAGAGAAACAAATTTTCTCCTTCCTCCTTGTGACACCCTTTTAGATATTTGAAAGCCGCTATCATGTCCCCCCTTAATCTTTTGTTGCCTAGTGGCTAGATAGAAACTACCACTTTTTTTTTATACTGAATACTGTAAATTTTACCGCTCATACTTAGAACTCTTTTTTTTCAGAGAGTTGGACAATGTGAAAAGCATAATCAATGTTTCTCTTCTGATAGGAAGCGAAGGATCTTTTGAAATAAATACTACGACTGGAGCTATTTCTGTTATAAAGAATCCAAGTAAATTAAAGAAAGAAGTGTATGAGCTAAAAATTCAGGTATGTTCCATAGTTTCCCTGTGCCCATAATCATGGATGTCAATCTTTACTGAAAACAGATAACATGAACCAAGTCTTAAGTGCTACATGTTGTATTTGTATGTTTAAGGGTCAGATAATCACCCTCATGTATATCTTCATGTTTTCCCTTTGTTTACAGATATATTCAAAGCGCTCCTGCGTTCTTCTTGGAATAAAATCTAATAATCACATACCAACTCTATAGCCTTCATTCCCTTATGTGATTGTCTGGTGACTCTCATGTGGCATCCCTGCTGTGCATTTTGCATATCTCACTGATTGCTTATTTGCTTCATAACTATCAGAAGCCTCACATTCCTTTGAAAACCAATGGCACAGTTTTGGAAGTTGTGAGGAATACTTAGTTCCACGTGATACAATGTATGGGCTTTCCTCTACATTTTTACCTTTGGTTAAAGAAAAGTCTGTAGACACAAGACCGTATTTGCATATTTGTACCATGTAATACATCAAAATATTTGTCAGTATTTGTAGAATAGACTGATTTTAGAAGTTTTTTCAGATTATTCTTTTATATTTTATGAATTCTGGCTACTGTCCAAAGATAACTGGTAACTGATGTTAACACAGTGTATGCGCTGATGAAGTTACTCCAGGGGATGTTTCTCTCTCTGAACCACAACTGGACCCGTGTAATGCATAATGAAGCAATCTACTGCAAGACTCAGTTGATTAAATGGTATGAATCAACATGAATTTGATAATGGACACCTTGAAATGGGAGGCCTGTGTCGTGCAATGAATTTCAAGGGCAGTCTGATGCAGCAAAGTTACATCCTTGTGGTGATAACATCTACGGTGCATCAGCCATGCTTTAACGGCAAAAGTATGTAAGGGTGGCATTAGAATTCACGATCATGGGAATGAGGCCATGAATTGTTTGAAATGAATTGTTGAAATGTTTGCAATTCATGGCCTCATTCCTACGTTTGTGAAGTCTAATGCCACCCTTACATGCTTTCGCTGTTAAAACATGGCTGATGTACCATAGATGTTGTCATCACCACCTGATCCAATGGAGAATAGATGTTGCCTTACCTAGTGGTTGCATGAAATATGATGTTCTCGTAGAGTCTAGAAGATGAAAAGTGACATCTCTTGTTGAAAACTCAAACATTTATTGAAGCATCTGAAGATGTAGAGAAGGCGCACAAAGACTAGATGATCATAATGGTCCCTTCTGACCTTAAAGTCTATGAGTCTATGAGTCTATTTATCTTCTGGGGAAACAAATGGATTTCCCCCAACTACTGATGGATTATATAACAGCAAAGAGTGATACCACAGCAAGTCCATGCAGCATGGGATCTGGGTAGAGATAATTCCACTTGACTCCAGCATGGTCATGTGAATTACGCTGGATAGGCTTGTGTAAATGTAGCAGAAGCCAGACTTCTGGAGAAGGAGAAGACAGATTCACATCATGCCTGCACAGATAGTGAGGGAGCATTATACAGGAATGCTGGACTCTTTAATGATATATGGCAAGACATGGGCATCAAGCAATTGCATCAGCATCTCACCTGACTGCACATTTCATTTGTTTGCATTTGTGGACATGTGGTTCCCAAAGTGGGTGAAGTAATTTCTTTTATTTCAGCAGCTTCTTTTGGTAAAAGAGAGACACTTTCGAGCTAAACAGAGTGCTCCAGGGTTTGATAACACCCAAGAGGGAGTTTCATTAGATATTCAGAGATTAATAGTGCAGGGTTTACATAAGTACATGATTTTACTTCATTATTCACATGATATATTCATACACAATATCCTTCTGCCCTCTTATCAAGATGGTGACTGTTATGCAAATAGTTTACAAGTATCATCATTGTGTTCACTGATAGATAGTAAGACTGTAATTACAGTTGTATTGTGGGTATTCTAGACTTACATCTGGGCAAGCAGATGTCATAAAAAATATATATGTTTTATAATTCAAGGGTAGAACGTCTTACCTGCAAAACTTCATAACTCAACCATTTTACAAATAATGACAAATATTTTGATGTATTACATGAAACAGATGAGCTCATACTGTTGTGTGAGTGTCGTGTGAGAGCACAAACTGGTGTGCTTTAATCAAAGGCAAAAACAATATGGAAAACTTCATAGAACATCATAAAATGTCACCTGAGGCAAAATAGTTTCCCAACTTTCTAACACACTACTATTTTGAGTATATAACTAGATTAGTAATTGTATTTAGAAGCTTTTGGCCAATTTTGATTAAAATTAAACTGTTTCTATGAGTTATGACCCTTTTGTGTGATTTGTTTGCCCAATAAGATTTGAAGATCAATAAAATGGCACCATTTCAAGCATCTGCATCTGCTCCAGGGATGCCCACCAGCTCTATGCCTACAATGCTGGAGCAATGAATTTCTTTTAGCTGATGCCTATCTTTTAGCATTCCAAATGGGGTCAGGCTGGTAAATTACTGCACCTTGCAGAGTCTGTGCTAAGTTCTTTGTCTCGCAATCCCTTGTTGCCTAGTGGCTACATAGAAACTACCACTTTTTTTTTATACTGAATACTGTAAATTTTACCGCTCATACTTAGAACTCTTTTTTTTCAGAGAGTTGGACAATGTGAAAAGCATAATCAATGTTTCTCTTCTGATAGGAAGCGAAGGATCTTTTGAAATAAATACTACGACTGGAGCTATTTCTGTTATAAAGAATCCAAGTAAATTAAAGAAAGAAGTGTATGAGCTAAAAATTCAGGTATGTTCCATAGTTTCCCTGTGCCCATAATCATGGATGTCAATCTTTACTGAAAACAGATAACATGAACCAAGTCTTAAGTGCTACATGTTGTATTTGTATGTTTAAGGGTCAGATAATCACCCTCATGTATATCTTCATGTTTTCCCTTTGTTTACAGATATATTCAAAGCGCTCCTGCGTTCCTCTTGGAATAAAATCTAATAATCACATACCAACTCTATAGCCTTCATTCCCTTATGTGATTGTCTGGTGACTCTTAATGAATTTTTAAATCCATATCAGCTGGAGTAGATTATCACATCTATTATCATTGAAAGCTTTGGATAAATGATATTGAATAGTGGATCATAACTATTAAATCCATATCCATTTGACTGGGTCTCTACACAAAAGCATGACACTCATGTCCACGGTTACAAATGGAAAGAGAACAGAATTTTTGAGAGACAGACTATGGCTGTGGCAGGCTGCCTACATTTACACAGGATTCTAACAATCCATTTAATGGCAGAGAACCACTTCATTGGGCAGTATCCATTTTTCCTCACACAACCGTGCATTGAAAGCAATGGGATTTTTCCTACACAGGAATTAGATTAAGTCTTTACAAGGGCCTTGTAACAGCCTAAAGATAAATAAGTGTATTATTTTTTTTATATTAAAAACAATAGTAAAGGGCCAGCTTAGCTTACGGAAGTTGATGAAATATAACTGACTTCAAGACGGGAATCTGCCCTGCATGCTCAGAGATTTAAGATATAAAAATCTAGAGAAATTCATGTTAAAATCATGCTGGTTAAAATCATGTGGGTTTTTTTGGGAGGGGGGTTGCACAAGTGGAACAATGGTTGAAATATTGGGCAGTAATTGGTGCTAGGTTTAACCCTCTTTGACTGAACGGGGTGTACACTGGGATTAATTTAGCCTATTAGGGTTTTATTCCTTAGTTACTGGTAACCAATTTGTTACATAAAGCAACAGCTGGAGTTTTCTCTACAGTGGAAAAAACATCAGAGGCATAGTCAATTAGGCGGCAGTGACTGGAAACCTCAACAGGTCTGGTGGTTCGGTTCGGTTGCCTTGCCAACCTTTCTGTAGCTCGTGGGGGTCAGCAAAGCAGGTGTATAAATCTGAGAACAGTCTCTCCAGAAAGAAATTTCTGGTACTTTCTTCATCCCATATGCCCTCAAATACCACAAAGCACTGGTACTCTCAGCCAGAACAAAGAAGAGCATGTGTAGCCACCACCAGGTGAATTTGAACCTGGGACCTCCGGAGCTTAACATATAGGAGCTTCTAACTCTTTGAGCTAAAATCCACCGGGCTCTCAGCATATACTGTGGGGCTGTGTCTAGACTGACAAGTTTTTCCACAAAAGCAACTGCTTTTGTGGAAAAACTTGCCAGCTGTCTACGCTGGCCGCTTGAATTTGAGTAAGAACACTGATGATCTAATGTAAGATTGTCAGTGTTCTTGCGCAAATACTATGATGCTCCCATTTGGGAAAAAGCCCTCTTGTGCAAATGCAAGAGGGCCAGTGGAGACAGCTTAAAAACTGTTTTGCATAAAAAAGCCCCGATGGCGAAAATGGCAATCGGGGCTTTCTTGCGCAAAACCGCGTCTAGATTGGCACGGATGCTTTTCTGCAAAAAGTGCTTTTGCGCAAAAGCATCCATGCCAATCTAGATGCTCTTTTCCACAAATGCTTTTAACGGAAAAACTTTTCCGTTAAAAGCATTTGTGGAAAATCATGCCAGTCTAGACGTAGCCTAGAGGTTTCTTGGTTTATCTGTTGCTGTGGTCTAGGGGCCACTGCATGGGACAGTGAACTACGCTGCATGTGTGGGTTACATGTGGGTACCTGAAAAATGATCTGGAGGAAAAGGCCAAGTTTTTTGGAACTTCAGAGTTTGGAATCCATATTAATCTTACATCTTCATTCTGGACAAAAGTTCAAATAATCTCTTATTTTATGTAAATCAGATTATTTATCCCTAAAAAACAGTTTTCATTCTAGGACAGAGATGGATTGAGGATCCCTTTCCTGCAGACTCGGTCTCACGACCAGTGCAGGACTAGCTACTGATTTTGTTAAACTTTGGATGGCTGTTCTTAGCTTAGCTCAAATACTATTTCTGTGAGTTTATAGAGTTCTAGGGTGAAATCCTGACCTCACTGAAGTCAGTGAAAGACTCCACCATTAAACTTCATACCAAAATGATTCTACCTTCTAGGATGGATTTAAAGATAGAAGCAAATGTAAGGCCATCAGGCATACTCAACTCATATACAAAATTCCCCTTAATATCAATGTGATTTGTTCACACAGATTAAGGCCCTCTAAGGCCCTGACAAAACAAACGCTTTAAGTGAACTGATAGTTCTCCACAAAGAAAGCTCTACAGTTTATTTCTTTTACCCATCATAGGCATCAGAAATAAATCCAGATGGTGATGTGACAGCACATGTTTTTGCCACAGTGATTATAAGAGTCGTCGACCTCAACAATCACCCACCAACTTTCTATGGAGAAAACGGGCCCCAGAACCGATTTGAACTGACAATGTATGAGCACCCCCCCGAGGGTGAGATCCTGAGGGGCCTGAAAATTACAGTCAATGATTCAGATCAGGTGAGTTTGTGAAGAGTATCTATCTCGTCTGGCTGTCTAAGCATTTTATACAGCACTTTGCACGGTAATACCTGGGCATCTAAATTTTGGGGAGGAGCAAGGATAGGTTATTAGTATTATAATATGATTTTCCATTAACAGTGCTATGAATGCTTAAGAGAGTCTATTGGGGTGCATCTACATGGCAGCATTATTTCAAAATAATGCTAGTTATTTCAAAATATCTTAGTGTGCAACTAAACAGCAGGCAGTTATTTCAAAATAATGTCAAAATACTGTCAAGCTGGAGGACTTCATACTCCAACTTCTGTAACCCTCACTGTACGAGGAGTAATGGAAGTTGGAGGAAGAGTGCTCTGTTTTGAAATAAGTGCTGTGTAGACACTCCCAATTTCGAAATAAGCTATTTCAAATTAAGCTACACAATTATGAGTTAAGACCTGCTGTGTAGATGCACCCTGAGTTGGAAGTTCTAATCCCAACTCAGACATTAATTTCTTCTGGGCCCTTGGACATTTTAGGCCCTATTAACAATCTCAAACAAGTTTTACCACTAGTATAACTCCACTGAAATCAATCAAGTTATGCATGATTTACAGTGACATGGGATGAGCATCAAACCCTTCACCTCTCTCAATTGGTTTCTTTATATGTAAAATGAGGATAATACATTCTTGAATAATTCCTAGAGGGACTGGGAGGACTACTTCACATTTTGCAACTTCAAAAGGCTTAACAAATAGCCGTTTTATCACGGCTGTTTATGGACACAATACAGCCCTTGCCCCTTTCATTGTTTCTGTTAGTAAAACCTACAACTTATCATTCTTCTGGCCATTATCCTTTCCCATGAGCCTGCAGCGCATGCTTTGATAAAGCTTATATCCCAAGAGGAGTGCTCTCTAGCTAGAGAAGAGATAAGAACAGAAACCTCCATGAAGACCATTTGAGCCCTCACCCTATAGATCTAACTGGCCTAGAAAGCACTTAGGGTACGGCTAGACTTCAAGTTTTTGTTGGAAAAAGGTACACAAAATGCGGAATACATTTTACGTATCTTTTTCTGATTCTTTTGTCAGAAGAGGCTTTTCTGACATTTGGCCCATCTAGACTGGGCCAAATGTCAGGAGAAAACCCTCTTTTGAAGGCCCCCTTCTTCCTCATAGAAAGAGAAATACAGTGGCTTCTGAAAGAGCACATTTGCTCTTCCACAAAAAAAAGCAGAAGAGCAAATGCATTCCCTGGATGCAGAGGAGATTTTTTTAGGGATACCTCCGGTATCCTGAAAAAACCCTGCAGTCTAGCCATACCCTAAGATCCTGTGGCAGTAGTTGCCAGAGGAAACCCTATGGTAGCTACTGTAACTGACAAGATCTCAGAACTACATTCTGTTGACAGCAATACTCTTATGACCCGATACTCAGTACTGTGCTGTTACTATCATACTACTATCAAACCCTGCTGCTCTGGCATCAAGCTGATAAATGAGCACTTACACATGAGCGCGCTTCTGCAGCATCAAGAGGAAGCAAACTGAAAAATTGCTATGCCGGCTTCTCTTGTTTGGCTGCATCTCCACTTGTGCTGTGATGGTTGATCTTCCAGCATTTGATTTAGCGGGTCTAATAAAGACCCACTAAATCAATTGCTGAGAGTGTCCCTGTCAAGACCGGTACTCCTACTCCTCACAAGGAGCAAGGGAAGTCAACAGGAATGTTTCTCCCATCAACCTCCCTCTGTGAGGTCTGTGTCAAAGCTTGGTTTAAGGTATGTTGATTCCAGCTATATTTTTTACATAGCTGGAATTGTGTACCTTAAGCTGGCCTTCTCCCATAGCATGGACCTGGCCTCCTGAGTTTTAAAAAGTTACATAGGTTACAACCAGACTTTAAAATATACAGAAAGCATTTGTAACTATATAGAATACATTTCTTAAAAATGTTTCCTGCTGCACTCTCACAATTCCCCCCTCCCCCTTTTCATTTAAAGGCCTAAAGCCAAATTATTCCCCTTTTGCACACACAGCTCGTTCAGGGGAAAATGTAAAGTAAACATTTCTTACCTGACACTGGAGGCCTTGGCTCACTGAGAGGTTGAATAAGTTAGTGCGGGTGTGGGTTGGAACTGGAGCTACTGCATCTGATTTCTGAAAAGTCCATCTGTTCTATGCTCTAGTCCTCTTCTCACTATAAAGACAGAAGCCATGCTCCCACCGGCTCTCCTGACATTCCTGTGCGCTGTGACTGCCCAGCTGGCCTCAGGGAACATGCTTTGTCCAGAACATAGTTGAGTTCCGCTAACTTTCTTGAGAAAAAATTACTCCCTTATGGAGGGAAGCATACTATGTACAGCAGCAGTTTTCAACCCTGCATGGCTCTCCCCAGGCCTTTGGAGTCCCATGCACAAGGTTTATCACCCGGCTGGAAAGATAGACCTTCCACATTGCTCATTCCAGGCACATAGAATCCTAGAATCCAAGGGCTGGAAGAGACCTCAGGAGTCATCGAGTCCAACCCGCTGCCCAAAGCAGAACCAACCCCAACTAAATCAACCCGGCCAGGGCTTTGTCAAGCTGAGACTTAAAAACCTCCGGGGTTGGAGTTTCCACCCCCTCCCTAGGGAACCCATCCCAGTGCTTCACCACCCTCCTAGGGAAATAGTTTTTCCTAATATCCAACCTAGACCTCTCCCACCACAACTTGAGACCATTGCTCCTCGTTCTGCCATCCCTCACTATGGAGAAAAGCCTCTCTCCATCCTCTTTGGAACCTCCCTCCAGGAAGTTGAAGGCTGCTATCAAATCCCCCCTCACTCTTCTCTTCTGCAGAGTAAATAAGCCCAAATCCCTCAGCCTCTCCTCATAGGTCATGTGTTCCAGCCCCCTAATCATTTCGGTCGCCCTCCGCTGGACCCTCTCCAATGTGTCCACATCCTTTCTATAGTGGGGGAGCCCAGAACTGGAAGCCCAGAACTTCAAAAAGATCTCACAAAACTAAGTGATTGGGCAACAAAATGGCAAATGAAGTTTAATGTGGATAAGTGTAAAGTAATGCACGTTGGAAAAATAAACCCAACTATACGTATAGTATGATGGGGGCTAATTTGGCTACGACAAATCAGGAAAGAGATCTTGGCGTTATCATGGATAGTTCTCTGAAAACGTCCACACAGTGTGCAGCGGCGGGCAAAAAGGCAAATAGAATGTTAGGAATTATTAAGAAAGGGATAGAAAATAAGACCCAGAATATCATACTGCCCCTGTATAAAACTATGGTATGCCCACATCTTGAGTACTGTGTACAGATGTGGTCTCCTCAACTCAAAAAAAGATATTTTGGCCTTGGAAAGGGTTCAGAAAAGGGCAACTAAAAAGATTAGGGGTTTGGAACAGGTCCCATATGAGGAGAGGCTAAAGCGAATGGGACTTTTCAGTTTGGAAAAGAGGAAACTGAGGGGGGATATGATAGAGGTATATAAAATCATGAGTGGTGTGGAGAGGGTGAATAAAGAAAAGTTATTCATTAATTCCCATAGTATAGAGAACACCAAATGAAATTAATGGGTAGAAGGTTTAAAACTAATAAGCGGAAGTTCTTCACACAGCGCTTAGTCAACCTATGGAACTCCTTGCCAGAGGAGGCTGTGAAGGCTAGAACTATAATAGAATTTAAAGAGAAGCTGGATAAATTCATGGAGGTTAGGTCCATAAAAGGCTACTAGCCAGGGGACAGCCAGGGGATCTGTTTGTCAGAGGCTGGAGACAGGTGGCACGAGACAAATCGCTTGATCATTGTCTTCGGTTCACCCCCTCCGGGGCACCTGGTGCTGGCCACTGTCAGCAGACAGGATACTGGGCTAGATGGACCTTTGGTCTGACCCAATATGGCCATTCTTATATTCTTATGTTCATCAACATCCTTCCTGTAGTGGGGGACCCAGAATTTGATGCAGTACTCCAGATGTGGCCTCACCAGTGCCACATCAATCACATCCAGCCAGTATTTGTGTGTGTTGCTCCACTGCATACAAAAAAGAAACCCAGGGGTTCTGCTTTAGTTGTGAGAGTTGGGATTCCAGTGCAGCACAAGCCACCAACATTCAGATTTGCTATGGCGATTATCAATGGTTTTTTCCCGTTGAGATGGGCAGGAATTGAACCAATGGCAGCCCAGGTATAGTCCACGTGGCTGGACTAGAAGACCCGCATCTAAAAAGCAGTACATCTGTGAGGCCATTCAGTATTCATGGCTGATGGCGACAGTTGCGAGTAACCAGTGTTGAGAGATGTATACTCGCGGGTGGTGGAGTATGCTTTCTCATTCCTTAAGTTGGTTGGTAAATCACGTTCAACTCATCTCTCCCCATCATCCGTAGGAAAGTATAAATGTCTGCTGGCTTAATTGCTGAAATGGCTATCTGTATGACCCTCCCCTTTTTGCCATTTCCCTGCCATATTCAGAGAATTGTTCTGGTGTACAGTAACTCGATCCTGTATCACAGACGGTGGCAGAAGGGTGCCTTTTAAATATGTCCATCGTTCAGTGATTTCATTTGTTTCCACTGTTCTACAACTCAATCTTCCTTTATCTCTAGCCCTCTGTTGTGCTGCAGGTTGGAGGGAGCTCTCTAAACCAGAACCAATGAGACAAAGCTGTGCAGCACATAAAAAGCTGCATTGCTCTATATGCACATACCGACAGTACTGACTCAGCTCACTAAGTCCTGACCAGTAATGTATCAATCTCACTGCAAAGCACAAGATAGATTCTCCAGAGACCCATGGCTGTTATAAAATCCTGGTCAGGCAGCTGGAAGGGATAAACCTCCCATCTGCGTGCTCCTGGTTCCTTGGAACACAACCAGCTTGGGAGCGGGGGCATGCCTTGAAGCCAAGTCAAAGCCTCTTTTTCATATAAGTGCCCACCAAGCCAGGCCTGGTGCAGTGTTTTTCAGTTGTAATTGGAGGAATAATGAATCTATTTTTATAAAAGCCGTGTGTGTCCTGTGACCAGAGCTGCACAGATTACTTTAGTAAGCCTCTTAGAGCTCTTACCCAGGAGATGGGGAACAGAAGGTTCTAAGCAGTCAGACACACATTCTAATTATACACATACTGGAGACAAACAGAGCCTCAGCAACCCAAAATGCAGCCCTGTCGCTGAAAGCAAAGCTCCATCACTTTGTCCTGCTTTTCCTTTCATATCTATGATTTGTTCCCAGGGAGCCAACGCTAAATTCAACCTCCGGCTAGTTGGGCCTGGTGGCATCTTCCGAGTTGTTCCCCAAACCGTCCTGAACGAGGCTCAGGTTACCATAATAGTGGAGCACTCTGCTGCTATAGATTATGAGAAGTTCCAGTCATTAACCTTTAAGGTATGGTATGTTCCTTGCCCTCTCCAATTAGAAGGTTCATGTACCTGGCGATTTTTGACTTCAGGTTTCAACTGGGGCTTTCAGGCTGAATGCTCATGATGTTATATAGGTGTGTAAATGAAGCTCACTAAGCCAAATTCTTCCCTCAGGTCACTGACTGCTGTGGGGTGTAATAGGTGTAACGGAGGACCATGGGTTATTTTTGGCCCAGTGAATACAAAAAGTTCTATCTATTACATTTGTACAGAAATGCCATTGTGCAATCTCTCTGAAGCACTATAGACTATGCACATCAGGGTGACTATTTAACTTATGTCAATAAGCTCACTAGGTGCAATCCTGGCCCCACTGATTTTAGGGAATTCAGGATTTCTCCTAATCAGTCTTAGGCCATGTCCTGCTTTACAGCAGGAGTTGGCAACCTATGGCTTGCGAGCCAAATATGACTCACAAACTCAGCGCCTCCCTTGCTTCCCCCACAGCAGGAAGCATTTGCTGGCACTCTAGCCTCCCAGCCCCCCACAAGACTAGAGTGTCAGCCTTCCCACTGGACCCAGCTTGCAGGCCAGTGGAGCCAGAAATGGCTGTGTGAGGTGCTGTTCCCCTTCCCCTCTCCCAGTGGGGGAACAGCAGTACGGATGCACTTCCTAGAGGCCTTCCCCACTGCTCCCATTGGAGTAAGTGCCCCCAGTCCCTCATGCCCAGACCCTGTACCCCCAGCACCTCATATACCACTTCCCCTGCCGAGACCCTGCACCTCCGGCCTGCTCCCTCCCCCGTGACACCTATCCCCAGCCTGCTCCTGCCCCCTCCCCCCTGGCCAGACACTCTACTCCCAGCCTGCTCCCACACCCTACTTCTCATCCAGGCCTCGCATCTTAACCCCCTCCTACACCTCTCCTCCCACCCGGATCCTGCACCCCAATCCCTATCCCACTCACTGGCAGCCCTGTCCCACACACAGAACCCTGGAACCCCAGAAGAGTACATCTGGCTTGAGGCCTTGAACCTCAGTCCTCCCTGCCCCTCCCGGCTCCATGTGGCTGGAGCACCAGGGGAGTGAGGTGTTTCAGTTGGGGGCCACGTCAGTGAGGGTTGTAGGGTTTTGGAGGATGGTTTTGTTTTGTTTGGTTTGGTTTGGTTTGGTTTGGCTTTTTTGCATGGTCCCTGACTGATTTTTCTGTGGGTCAGAGGCCCCCAACCCTAACAAAGTTCTCTACCCCTGCCATAAATAAAGTCACTGTTGAAACCTTTTATATTGGACTTCATTTAAAAATGAAACCTGGCCAACAAGCCACCAACTGGGGCTGAGCCCCCATCTGGCCACAGCATCATAACACTCCTACATCCCCCACACACCAACCCTGTGCCCTGAGCCCATCATACACCCAAAACCCCTATCCTTAGCCCCCTCATACAGCCCAACCCAGACTCCTGCACCCCCACATCCCCAACCTGCTGCCATAAGATTGACAGAAGACACTTGAATGCGCGCAGGAAGCTGGATTTGACCAGTTCTGGTGTAAACTTTAAAGAAATGTGCAAAAAGATGCAGCAGCAGAAGTCCCATTAAATAAAGGCTGTGAGTACAGTGTTTCATTCATGCTGTTATTAATCATTATGTCAATTATCAATAAGCTATGCTGTATATATTCAGTCCTGCAAATGGGCATTCTTATACGGCTCTTTGCTGACCACCTGTTCTGAATTTCGATGGAGTTTTGTTCCTTGGTCTGAAAAGGTTGTTGGCCCCTGCTTTAGAATATGTTATTGCTGGAATTGGAAGAAGACTCCAGCTGATGGGTGTTTCGTTTTCCATTGTAGCTCATTGCCTTCACCACCTTGCTAATCATGGAATATTCAGTACTAATGGGGTCTGCATGTTTTGCATTCAAAGAGGCTATTTCTGTAATGATTAGAGGGAGTGGAATGGGTATCAGACTTCCTGGGTTCTATGTCCAGCCTTTTCACTGATCCCTGGTTCTGCAAACCCCATTATATTATCTAGTAAGAGCTGCTGTCTGCCATCCTGAGTCCATCCAAGGAAGTTGAGTCACATTTTTTGAACAGCTGCAGAGCACTGGAGTGATGCAAATAACTTCCCAGCAAATAATCTGATAAATTTAGCCTCTGTGTCTGCAAAATGTTCACCAGCAGTTGGATTTTGATTCCATCAGTTTAATTTGTGATTCAAACTAATTCGATGTGATTCAAACTAATTATATGGTTGTGACTATTTTCTTCCACTATTTGATCTGAGGAAGTGGGTCTAGCCCACGAAAGCTCATCATCTAATAAACCATCTTGTTAGTCTTTAAAGTGCTACATAGTCCTGCATTTTAATTCGATGCCTTTGAGACATTTTGTAAAATCTGGAAACGTTTCTGCAGATATTTGATTTTTCAATGTGCCCTCTCTGAGCTATGTTGGTAACTTGTGATTGACCAGATGATCAGGCAGGCACATCTACTGTACCTAATGACACATGCAGATTTAAATTTTGGTGTCTGCATATTCTTCAGAGTCAAATCTGAAATCCCCTTCCTACAGAAATTCGGATGGATTCCTCAGATGTTCTGGGAAAGCAAACACAAAGGGAGCAGGAACATGGCTGAAATTTAGTTTAAAATGTTTATTAATTTAAAAATAGAGTTTGATTTTTACATGATTCGCCCAGTTATACAAAGCATGCTTCCCTTCCTGTGGTGTTGGTTTCTGTTCTTGTTGGGGTAAAATGCACATAGGCATCATGAAAGATGCCTCCCAAATACTTGCAATAGTAATAACAGAATTCACTGTTTTATCACCTTAGCTTCTTGCCATAGAGGTGAACACTCCTGAGAAGTTTAGTTCAACGGCGGATATAGTGATACGACTCTTGGACACCAATGACAACGTCCCAAAGTTCTCATCTGACTATTACATTGCCAGGATTCCAGAGAATTCCCCAGGGGGCTCCAATGTAGTGGCTGTAACAGTAAGCTTTATTCAGTCTTCCAGAAATGTATCTGATCTCATTAATGGTCTACGGACACTGCCAAATACTTTTTTTCTTTATAAGCACTATTCTATTCCGATGTTGAAATCAAGGGGAGTTTATTCACTGACTTCAACAAGGGTGGGAGTCACTCTTACTTTGTTGGCTGCACATCAGCTGAAATATCTTTAAATCACTGAGCACAAGAAAGTCAGCTCCTGCAGCCTCATAATTTAATATATTTGGGATCGAAACAATATGGATTCACAGCTATCACCATACCCAGTGGAGCAGGTACATTAAGCTCCAGTGTGTGGAGCCACTCAGTGGATTATATTATGTTAGCACACAATGCTCATAAAGGTTGCTGTTTCAGAAAAGCCTGTTCAAAAATGTGTCTAACATGCCATTTTAAAATTGTTGTTGTTTTTTAAGACACAAAAATGCCTCGCATTTAACAAGTTGAAACCAGTGATAATGCACCCAAAAAACTCAATGGTTGCTGAGTGAGGCCGGTATTATTGTTTTGGATTTGACTGAGGGTGAATGCAAAGAAAGGAAAAAGGCTGCTTGTAAATTTCTAATCCCATCTTCCATAGATTGCAAAGGTGATATGATTGCTACATGCATAATTACGCTGCTCACGAATAAGACTATAAAAATGCATGACAGAAAAACACACTTTACTGCAGGCTAATAAATCAGACTCTTGAATTCTTTCCTTCAGGCTACAGATCCAGATTCGGGGCTTTGGGGAGAAGTCAAATATTCCATATATGGAACAGGAGCTGATCTGTGAGTACAAAGGTTAACATTTGAGTACAGCAAAAGGATAAATTGCTACTGAGAAAATATGAGGGCTAGGACAACTGCTAGCATCTCAGATTAATGCATGTTGAGATTATTGCGAGGAAGGGGCATTCACCATTATGTCTTTCAAAAGTTGTTTTGGTTGAAATATTTTTTTCTGTTTTATGAGGCTAGGTCTACGCTAGGGGACAAAGTTGAACTAAGATATATAACTTCATCTATGTGATTAGCATAGAAACTCTCCCATCGACTTGCCTTACGCCTCATGACCCAGTGGAGTATCGAGTTGACAGTGGTTGATTTAGCAAGTCCTTACTAGACCCGCTAAATTTAATCTCAGGAGATTGATCTCTGCAGTGTTGTTGTCCCAGTAAGTGGAGAAACTATGGCGTTTCATCCACCAAAGACACATAACGCAGCTAACATGAGAATGCACACAAACTGTTCAAACGATCATTTCAAAAAATAGTTTGTTTGCAGTGGTTATTGTAAAAGGCCAGTGGATATCACCCTCCAATGCCTTCGTTTCGCTGCAAAATGGCACCATTTCAACACTTAGCCCAATGTACAGAAAAGACCAAACATCATGGAAACCATATCTACATATTCCCACAAATTCTCTGAGGTCTGACATTGGGAGCACTTCAGGCACTGATGGCTGATACCACTGGACATTAGAACCGTTGCTTGCATCTAACCTAGTAGCAGCAGGATATGGAAGAAGGGAACAAGATATTCCCAGGTTCCTAATAGATACCTACCTCCTCCTTCCTGTTGTAGGAGAGATGAAAATGAGCTCCAAATTCATCTTCTCCTACCCCACCCCAGTTATTGCAAACATAATAATTGTCTGGAGCCCCTACTCATCTCTCACGCTGCTGCTTATGACTTAAGAGGATGGAGACAAAAATTTGCAGCTGCATACGTTGTCCAGACTCCCAACAATTTTTTATCCTTTTCTGTAAATTGCCCACCTGGTTTTAAGGCTCTGCTCCCCACTTTGAGTAGAACACTAATCATGATAGTCAAAATCCAGTATTGCAGGGGTTTATTGGGAAAAAGCCAAACAAGGAAGGCACACACAGGAGCTTCTAAGTCATGGCTTATTCTGAGCTTCTCGCAAAATCCTTAAGCAAGCTGTTAATTGGGTAGAAGCAAGCAAGCAAAGGTCACCCCATGCATTCAGACCTAATAAGTTTAAAATGTAACAGCTGGTGCCCAAAAGCTTCTGAAGGCTTGAAAAAAAGAAATGTTGTATGTGCAAATTTATTCTGATTTTCACACTCCTAAAGCTAAAATAGACTATAAACAGGGAAATGAGGTTGTTGGAGTGGGGGAGGGTGTTTCTTTTCCTGAATATGGAAGTTTTCTGATTAAAGCAAACCAGAGACTTGGGTGTCTGGGTTCAATTTTCAGCTCTGCCACAGACTTCCAGGATGAGCTTGGGCACATTGCTTAAGCCTCGGCTACCTGCAACTCTTTCAGTTAGGGCTGTGGTGTTTCTGCCAAAACAGTTAAAATAGTACAACTCCTAGCAAGGATGCACTCACACAGGTATAAAGGTGCATTTTACTGTAATAGCTTATCCCCCCACCAAACAGGAATAGCAATATTGGTATGTGAAGGGATCAGCTTACCACTGGCGCCTTCTCATGGCAGAGTGTGGCAGTGTAGATACACTCTGCCCACTGGGGTCTCCTGACAAAGGAAACACTGCCTGGGCAGTGGCCTGCCTCTTCCTGTGTCTTGGCCCTCTGGCTAGTTCATTTAATAAAGAGAAATGCAAAGTGCTCCACTTAGGAAGGAACAATCAGTTCCATACATACAAGATGGGAAGGGACTGTCTAGGAAGGAGCATGGCGGAAAGGGATCTAGGGGTCATAGGGGACCACAAGTTGAATATGAGTCAACAGTGTGACGCTGCTGCAAAAAAAGCAAATATGATTCTAGGTTGTATCAACAGGTGTGTTGTAAGCAAACCTCGTGAAGTCATTCTGCCGCTCTACTCTGCACTAGTTAGGCCTCAGCTGGAGTACTGTGTCCAGTTCTGGGCGTCACATTTCAAGAAAGATGTGGAGAAATTGGAAAGGGTACAGTGAAGAGTGACAAGAATGATTAAAGGTCTAGAGAACATGACCTATGAAGCCAGGCTTCATGAACTGGGCTTGTTTAGTTTGGATAAAAGAAGATTAAGGGGGGACATGATAGCGGTTTTCAAATATCTAAAAGGGTGTCACAAGGAGGCAGGAGAAAATTTGTTCCTCTTGGTTACTGAGGACAGGACAAGGAGTAATGGGCTTAAAGTGCAACAGGGGAGGTTTAGATTGGACATTAGGAAAAAATTCCTAACTGTCAGGGTGGTCAAATATTGGAATAAATTGCCAAGGGAGGTGGTGGAATCTCCCTCTCTGGAGATATTTAAGAGCAGGTTAGATAGACATCTGTCAGGGATGGTGTAGACAGAGCTTGGTCTTGCCTTGAGGGCGGGGGGCTGGACTTGATGACCTCTCGAGGTCCCGTCCAGTCCTATGATTCTATGATTCTATGATTTCAAAGTCTCTGCCTTCCAGGATAGTTGGTGAACAAAAAACAAGGGTAATTTACGCAAATAAACAATGTTAGTAAAGGACAGAGGGGAGTGACTCCACCTCAGCATGGCTCCAGATCTGGCCTTCCCTTCCCTCAGGCCTAGGCTAACAGACAGTAGTTGTCTGGGAAACTCCCGCCTTCAGTCAACCCTTTCCTCAGGGGTTGAGGGTTGAAGATCTGCCCTTTTCCCTCGTCAGCCAGCAAGTGAGATGTTCGGTTCTGCTTTCAAAGCTCTTCCTTCAGCCTGTGCATCGCTTGAAGGTGTGGCCAGGTGAGGCTGGCTGAGCCAAGACTAGCTCCTTAGCCCCTGGTTATCCAGTCTGGGAGGTACATCTAGACAGCGGCGCTATTTCCGGATACGTCCGGCATCCCGAAATAGTGTTTTCCACGTTTTAACAGCATGTCCATTATTTCAAAATTCAATCAAAATAACAGGCTTGCTATTCCGACATCCCAATAAACCTTGTTCCATGAGGATGGAGGGTCTTGCCAGAATAGCGGTCTATTTCTAAATACGCTCAAAATAAGCACCACAATTTGTGTCGCTCAAATTGCATAGCTTGTTTCAAGCTAGTGCCACTATGTAGACGCACCCTCGGTTTATCTACACCATCACACGGTATAACGCTGTCTTCCAGCAATACAAGTGAGGCCTAATCAGGGTGCTAAAGCACTTTAACTAAAATTAAAGTTCCCCATTTATAAAACGTGGATAATAAAACTGCCTTTTATAGTTCTTGTCATTTTAGATTGTAAGCACTTCAGCAAAGGAACTGTCTCTTTCAGTAGATTTGCACAGCCTGCAGCACAGTAAGCTCTCAGTCTTCATTGGGGCTTGTAGGTAATTACAGAGCACAAACAACTCATGCTCATAGATAATTACAATGCCAATTTTATAATAATTATATATTAAGCTCAAAATTGGAATGCACACACATGCTTTATTTCATTTTGCATTTAAAACCTTTCCCTTTTACAAAATCTGCATTTGGGACCTCAACCGACCGAGTCCTTTTAAAAGACAGGATGTTGGCATCTTTAAGAGAAATTCAGTCTTTTGCCCGTCTCTCTTGACAGTTGCTCAGTAATTAATGCATAGAACTGAACTCTACAGATAATTCTGAACGCTTGCAACCATCCAATATCACTTCATGAAACAGGGATTCATTTTTGGAGGACACAATTGCATTGTACGTCATAGGGGCGTGTAGAGGGGGCTTAGCATACCCATTCCGAACCACTAAGAGACAAATATTGTATGCAACACACTATTCTCTGCTATTCAGCTGGTGTCAATCAATCTTATTTTATTCAAGACACGATCTAATACTTATAAAGCTTAATAAACATGCAGTTCTGTAATATTTTTACACAAAGACAGTACCTTTGGGGAAATGCCATCACACTGAACAGTTCACAAGTACAAAAGCTTCTAAGAAATGCAACTGAAAGGGCAAAGACAAAAAGAACAAAAGAACAGTACCTAGTAATAACTCTGTGCTGCTCAAAACACAAAGGACAAGCACAAAATATGTAGGGTCAGTGATCTGGGATCTGTCAGGTTTTAGGTCTGTTCTTAGAACAGGAGAGATCTCAAATAAAGGCTCTCCATAATAAAGGCATCAATTCCAGCATTATACCGCTACCCACAACTTTAAACATTCATCTGCCTTCTCCCATAAATGAACTGTACTGCCTCTAGCTGTTCCTAGTTCTCCTCTTCACTGTGTCTGGTGTGAAGAGGACTGGCCCAGTCCTTTTCTGTGTCTGGTGTGAGCCCTTCCACAACCTCCCCCAACAAAGCCCTGCCCAGCCTGGATGCACCAACCCTGAATTGTGAGGCAGGTCCTGCCTTGGGCAGGGGTCTGGAGTCGATGTCCTCCTGAGGTCTCTTTCAGCTCTAGGAGTCTATTAAATAGGGGTCTATGCCTGCTTTGTGCCACACAAGTTTTCCCAGAGTCAGAGGAAAACCTCAGCTGCTTCTTTAGGGGGTCTGTGTGTGTGTCAAATGGACTGCTGAGCCTTTGGTGTGAGCCTCGTGACACCACTGAGATGATGCAGAACCAACAAGACAAGATGTGAATTCACTTGAACTTTCAAATGTTCTGGGTCCCAGCATCTGAGCTCGGCAGTTCAGTGACCTGAACTAGGATAGGAGCATCCACAGCCTGACATTTGCATCACGCTGGACCTTCATTGATGGATTTGAAAGTTGCCATCCTTCTGCAAAAGAACTTTAAACCCTAATTCCAAAAGGAGACGCTGAACTAGAATTTATTTGCAAATTCAATACAATCAATTTAGGACTGAATAAGGATCTTCACTGGTTAATGCATTACAAAGGCAATTTCCCCTCCTGATATTCACATCTCCATATCAAATGCTGACTTGATTAGCTTCATTAACATTGGTCCTACACTTGACAAGTAATTTCTTTTGTTGTTCTTATATACATCCCTACCTCTGTATTTCCACTCCAACTCATCTGGGCTGTGTCTAGACTGGCAAGTTTTTCCGCAAAATCATCTGCTTTTGCGGAAAAACTTGCCAGCTGTCTACACTTGCCTCTTGAATTTCCGCAAGAACACGACGATCTCATGTAAGTGTGGACACTTGCTTTGCTATTTTGAAATAAGGGGATTTGTTAGAAAAAAAAACTCCGTAGTGTAGACATGCTTTTAGTCTCTCCCAGGACTCCTTGTTGTTTTTTCAATATTTTTGTTTTACTGTGCATCTCCCCCAGATTTCTGATCCATCCATCAACAGGAATTATTTATACTCAGCCATGGGCCACATTAGATGCTGAAGTCACTGCAAAGTACAACTTCTATGTGAAAGCAGAAGACACAGAAGGGAAGTATAGCTTGGCTGAGGTGTTTATCACTGTGCTAGATGTCAATGATCACTCTCCAGAGTTCAATGAGAACATCCAGGAAAAGACTATGATCATTGGATCACCAGTGAAAATAGAGGTGAGGAATGAAATAACATATGAGACTTCAGTGGATGCAGAGTTAGCACAAACCAAGTGCTTTGAACATCCTACACGTGTACACATGGGAGAAGGGTGAACAAAGCACATGTATTTCCCTCTAGTTTTTTGTTTGTCTTTTGGGTGTGGCAGTGTAGAACAGAGCTATAAAACATGGATTGATACTATTTTACACATTGTTCAATGGGGGAAACGCACCAGAAGAAATATAATCCTGTAAAAATAATAGACCCAAGTTAAAACTATCAGTTTGCACATAGTGTAGTGTACAGTGCTCGATTTACAATTAGTCTATCACCATCATATTGGCACATATGCAAAGGAGTGCATAAATGTGCATGGGGGACTGAGACCAGGCTACCCTTCAAAACAAAGGACAAGTCTTTGGCAAGTCTGTGTGGGGACATTTTCATCTATCCATGTTGTTACCTTGGCTCTGTAATGAGAGGACTTTCTAGTAATGTGTATAACTCTCTGATGTGGAATAGGAAAAGAAATTCAGATCTCGTGTAAAGTTAGCAAACCTACATTATCAAGTCTGAGGGCAAGAATATACATATGCTAAGCAAAAGTAAACACTGAAGCATAATAACAAAAAGCAAATGTAGGTTGGTAGTGTGCAGAGCTAGCTCCCTGTCCAATTGTTTTCTGTGAACTTCACCTCGAAGAGTAAAGTGTTCCTTCTAGTCAAGCTGTGGGGAAATACACATTCAATTAGTACAAGATGCCTGCTACTATAAAGCAAATAGTTTATAACCATAGGTCAATGGGGATGTTATAGTCCGACTTTCTTGTTGACATTAATCTCAACTAAATATTGTCCAAACAAAAGGACTGCTAATTTTGTCATCAAAGGTCGTACAGTAATACCTCAGTAATCTCACAGCAGATACTTTGACTGTCCCTAATGTGTGCAAATACATGCCCAGGAACATTTACATTCTCTCATCCCCTGCATTCATCAGCAATCCGTGTCTCTTTTCCACATTTCTCCTGAACAGGCTATCGATCAAGATGCTGAAGAACCCAACAACATTGTAGACTATTCCATTATGCAAGCAGATCCAGCCAATGTATTTGATATAGACCAAAGCACTGGAGAAATAAAGCTGAAGTCCTATATCAGATCCCTGGATATCATTCACAACATCACCAAGAACAAAGACTGTGTATGGTCTGTGGTCATTCAGGCCAAAGACCGGGGCTCCCCTTCATTTAGCACAACAGCAGTCCTGAAGATTGATATCACAGAAGAGGTAAGCAGATGTATTTTTTTAAAGTGACCAGCCTTGGGAGATGCCTGGGTGGAACCAAAGAGGAGTTTCCTCTCACACCCTTTCTAAAGAGCTCTGTTTAAGATTTCAAGAGTTGATGAACCTTTTCCAATTCCAATATGGTCTTTTTTGAGATGGGGCAACCAAATCTCCATGCAGTAGTCAAGAAATGGGCATACCATGGATTTATGTAGAGGCAATATAAACGCATGTTATGGCCACATCTTGAATACTCTGAGGCTCAGGTGGTGAGAGAGGGGCTAGAATCTGGCTGAGAGATTAGTTTCCTTCATCTGGTGTCAGATAATTAAGGACTAATGTGCCCCTGCGACCAAACTTCAGTCTGACTACGGAATTTCTAAGGTGTCAATTAAGAGAGATGACAGGAAATAGGGCCAAAAAATCATCCACTGCTTTGGAGAGCAGGTGATCAGAAATGCAGTTGCAGGAGCAATCAGGTCAAAGACTAACTGTCACCCATTTCTCTCCCTTGTGACAGCAGCATGGCCTCTAGGGGGTGTCTACACAACAGCATTATTATAATAACGGCTATAATTCTGAAATAGCAATGTGAGCATTTACACAGCAATTCTGTTATTTCAAAATAATTTTGAAATAACAGACGGCTTGTTTCTACTTCTGCAAACCTCATTCTATGAAGAACAATTACTATTCCAAAATAGCTATTTTGAAATAAGGCGTGTGTAGACTCTCCACTGCTGCTATTTTGAAATAGCCCCTCACCAGGGCCATTCTAAGTTATTCCTCCTAGGGCTCTAAATCAAGATAGCATCTACATTTGGGAAGCCTGCCTCAGATTAATTTTGAGGCTTCCCTGCAGTGTAGATGTGCTATTTCAAAATAAGCTATTTCAGAATACTATTCCTGCATAGCTTATTCCGAAATAACTGTGCAGTGGAGACATAGCATGGGTGTAGTAACCGTCATGATCTCAGTGTGGGTAAAAGACAGGGGTGAATGCACAGAAGGTTCTCAAGAAGGCAAAGAACTCATGGAATGTTCTCCCAGCTCCTCCAAGGAGCAGACCAGCAGACCAGGGAGACGCGGAGCAAAGCCGCGGAGCACGCGGGCAGCGGGGCAGCCCAGACGCGCCCGGGCACTGCAGATCCGACATAAGTCAGATCCGCATAACTCGGGGACTGCCTGTAACACGTTTTTTCAAGACATCCCTTATCTCTCGTGGAACAAGGGTTACAGGGATGCCGAAATAGCACGCCCGTTATTTAAAAAAATATTTTGAAAAATATTTCAAAATAACAGGTGGCTTGTTAAGATGCAGGGTAGCTATTCCGGGATACCTCGGTATCCCAAAATAGCCGCACTGTGTAGACATATCCTTCGAGATCAGAGATGCTTATTTGAAGGACTTTTCCTAAGAATTATTAGACACCACATTTGAGCTTTATAAATATATGTTAAAATCCATAGT